GCGTCACACACTACAGAGAAGAAACCTTCCTGGAAAAGAAGAGTTGACTGATGGGGCAAACCTCATTGTTGCTTTCTTTTGAGAAATTGCCACCAGTCACAGTGGCTCACATCTGTAATCCCAGCACTTTGGAAGACCGAAGACAAAGAACTGCCTGAGCTCAGGAGTTTGAGACCAGCCTGGGTAGCATGGTGAGACCTCATCTCTGCAAAAAATAATTTAAAAAATTAGCCAGTGGTAGTGGCACACACCTGAAGTTCCGGCTACTTGGAAGGCTGAGGCAGAAGGATCGCCTGAGCCCAACTGGTTGAGCCTTCAGTGGCCATAATCGTGCCACTCCCACCTGGGTGACAGAGTGAGATTCCAACTCAAAAAAAGAGGAAGGAAGGGAGGGAGGCAGGAAATTGCCAGAATCACCCCAACTTTCAGTAACTACCACCCTGATCAGTCAGCCACCACCCACATCAAGGTAAGATCTTCTACCAGCAAAAAGACTATAAGAACCAGAGATTCAGATGACCATTGACATTTGTTTAGCAATGAAATATCTTAAATTAATGTATGTACTGTTTTTTTTCAATATAGATGACAGTATAGTGTAAATACATTTTTATGTGCTGGGAAACCATGCTATTTGTGTGACTGGCTTTATTGCACTGCATTATGATATTCACCATATTGGATTATTCACTTTATTGCAGGTCTGGAGTCGAACCCACAATCTCTCTGAGGTATGGCTGTGTGTATAAATCTCCAGTAGTCTGTCCAACTTTAGAGACCTGGAGAAAATCAAGCCTGCAGCAGCAAAGCTGAAGCTCAGGCCCTGGCATATCGGACTATACTAAAGGCCTCCTGTAAGACTGTCTATCTGCACCCCAGCGTTCTCTTTCCCCTTTGCCCCACTGCCACCAATTATCTCAGACTTCTCTACTGAATGTGTCTATTTGTGACTTTATTGTATTTACACATTTTATTACAATCAGCCTCAAATTCCTTTTGTAAAATAGGCAGCTTAGAAGGAGCCTGGCTGCTGTCACCAAACATCCATTTTCTGTCTTCCTTTTGTTAGTAGACTCTTCAGGTTTTGGTTGAGTACGTGGCCATCCAGGAAAAGAGAATATTTCCCCGCTTCCCTCGCCCATGTGTGCTCATGTAACTAAGTTTTGGCTAGTGGTGTGAGTGATAATGACATCTATAACTTCTGGGTTTGCCCTTCAAAGCTGCTCGCCCTCCATTGCCACACACCCCTGCCCCACATTTCTCCTTTCTAGTTAACTGCGTTGTAGACATGGTAGTGAGCAGGCTTCTGCCCTGCAGACAAGAGCAACATGCTAAGGAGTCCAGGAGCAACAAGGGAAAAGGAACCCAGATCTCTAAACAACCTCATGGAGCAGAACCATCTCACACTTTCAATCTTTTGGTGGACGAGATTTAAAAAAAAAAAAACCTGTCTAAGCCGGGCTCAGTGGCTCAACCTGTAATCCCGCGCCTTTGGGAGGCTGAGGTGAGTGGATTGCCTGAGCCTGCAGGTTCGAGACCCACCTGGGCAACTTGGCGAGAACTCATCTCTACAATAAATCAAAATGAGCTGGGCATGGTAGCGCGTGCCTGTAGTTCCAGCTACTTGGAAGGCTGAGGCGGAAGGATCGCCGGAGCCCAACAGGTCGAGGCTGCGGTGACCAGGAGCGGCCACTGCACTCCAGTTTGGGCGACAGAGTGAGACTCCAACTCAAAAAAAACACAAAAACCTGTCTTGTTTAATTAAGCCTCTGTTCATATGGTTTCTGTTAAACTGGCTGAACCTATATCCCAATTAATTCAGCATCTATATAGAATGAATGAATGAAAGTGAATAATTTCTAAACCAACTGCTTGAATTCCATGATCCCCAAAAATAACCTGTTTGATTATTCTCCCCAGTTAACTCATGATGATACATATACTTTACCTAATGTCCTGGCTGATTGAGTCATCATGTATGAATTTATTCCCATTGTCAATAACGATATTACTTGAACGTAGACTATGAACTAAAAACAAGGCACATAGATAGAAATATTAAAATAAGTTCCTCAAATGTAATGATTGTTTAACTAACCACCAGCAAAATTCTATCTTAATCCACATTTTTGAAACCTGCCCCTGATACGTGAAGGTAAAAACATGTGACTTGTGGACACTGCTGAAACAGAATGCACTGGGGCAGAAGTTAATTCAGTCTGAATGAGGAAAACAGTCGATGTGTGTGTTCTGTGATAAGGAGCCTGAGGGAGGGCTCTGCACAGCTACCATTCCAGCACTGTCACACACAGACAGCGGGTGACAGCCTGCACAGATGTGGCTGTGGAACCTGTAGGCTGGGGAAAAAGCCAGCGCCAGCAGGCAGTGGCAGCCCAGACAGGAGAGGGTCCTGCAGCTGCCACCCACTTCCACCACTGTGTACCAGGCGCCAAAAGAGCTGGCCGGGGCGGTGGGGAGGCCTGGAGAGTGCTGTGCAGAGGCAGAAGGACAAGCAAACTGGAGGCTTTGCCATGTGATAGACGTGTGACTAGGGCCAGGTCACTTAACCACTCCAAGTCACAGTGTCCTTCGCTGAAAAGAGGAGGTAATAGCAATTTCTGCTCCAGACAGTGTTTTTCAACTTGACTGATAGCAACAATCACTTGAAGTGCTTGTCAAACATACTGACTCTCCCGCCCCTTCCCTGCAGAGTGTGATTCTGTAGGTCTAGGGTTCTTAGCACCAGATAGAACTAGGCACACTGTATAACAATGTCCAAATGTTAGTTAACTTCTCCCTGCCTTGGTTTTAGGTCAATTCCTTAAAGGAAAGAGAACGGAAGGAGCGCAGGTGTTGCTCATTAGACTTTTCCTTTAGACCATGGAAGGACTCACAGTTTTTATAAAACCACAGATTTATTTGAACTCAAAATTAATGCTCACAGACACAAATTCTCAAGAGAGATAAGCTGAGGAATATGACTCTCCATCAAAAAGCACCTCTGCCTTTAGGAGACAGGCACTTGAGTTCTTTCCCTATCACACTACATAGAAAAGGCTACTCTTTTTGTTTTTATTTCTCCACACGCAAGATGAAGAGGTGGATAGGTGCTTCCAAAAAGGAAGTATTTGAAAAATACGGAACTCTTGGGGCCATATGAGACAGGAGCAAAATAGTAAAAAGAGAAAATCCTGAGCTGGAAATCAAACAATATTAGGAAACTCTATACATCTACTTCCGGATTCCTTGGTATGTGGCAGGTGGTCTTAAGCACATATTATACAAAGGGTTTTCTCCCTCCCAGAATCAGGTGTAGGGTTTATCTGACTGGGAGTTTAGAGTAATCCTGAACTGCCCCTCCCTTTAGGTGCAGAGACTATGGTGCAGTAGTGCTCTCACTGCTCAACACCCAGATATATCTCCAGGCATTACTCCAGATTAGGAGTTTAGGCAGCCCCTCACTTCCCATTTTTTTTAAATTTTATTTTATCTTGGATTCAGGGGATGTTTGTTCCATGGGTATATTGCATATGGGTGGTGATTGAGCTTCTAGTACACCAATTACCCAAATAGTGATCATTGTACCCAACAGGTAAGTTTCCATCCCTTGGCCACTTTCTAACCTCCTCTGTTTTGGAGTCCTGAGTATCTACTCTTTCCATCTTTATGTCCATGGGTACCCTCTGTTTAACTCCCAGTTATAAATGAGAACATGTGATATTTGGTTTTCTGTTTCTACGTTAATTTACTTAGAATAAAGGCCTCCAGCTCCACCCGTTGCTGTAAAACGCATGATTTCATTCTTTTTTATGATCACATAGTATTTCATGGTGCATGTATACCATATTTTCTTTATCCAGTCAACAGTTGATGGATACTTAGGTTGATTCCATGACTTCATTATAGTGAATAGTGCTCTGTAAACACAGAAGTGAAGGTGTCTTTTGGGTAAAACAATTGTGTTCCTCTGGGGAGATGCTCAGTAGTGGAAATGCTGGGTTGAATGGTAGTTCTATTTTAGCTATTTGAGCCACCAAGCTCCTGGAGGTGTGAAGTTGGTAAGCCTCCAATGCCACAAATAACCATCTTTGCAGTGAAAACAGGGGCAAATCTACAGCTACAGTGAGATGAAGTCAGATGTGGGGCTAGAACCCCAGTCCTGCCATCTATTAACCTTGTTGATGACCGCCAAGCTTAACTTGGCTCATCTGCAAAGTGGAGATGATATTTAGTTTGACTCTTTTTTTTTTTTTTTTAAGTTGGAGTCTCACTCTGTC